GAGAGAGAGAGAGAGAGAGAGAGAGAGAGAGAAGGGGAGGAACACTCACCTTCGGCAACGACGATGTCCAAGGCGGCGGCAGGTCACAGTAGCGGAAGAACGAAGTCCACGGTGGATTGCAGCAGTGGAGAGAACGTGGAGTGGAGCACTGTTTTTTTGCGGCGGCCTGGAAAAGCAACCAGTTTGAATTCGAATTCGAAGTCGAATCGGCCTCCCTGCTGGAGGGCATTACAGGAAGATGCATCCCTCGCAAAAGGGCAAATCGGACAGGCAGCACGGGAAATGGGACCGGCAGTCCGGTAGGGGCATTCTGAAAAGTTGCGCCCCTCACTGACAGGAGCCTGCCGGGAAGTTCAGAGGCCCCAGGGGCAAATCAGGGTAAGTCGGCCGTCGGAGGGGCAAAACGCAAATAAACGCAAACTTCAGGGGCATTTCGAAAATTTTCCGTTTTTTTTTGTGTAATTAGGCTCCGATCTATTCGTGCTCAGGGTCCGCGTTTCTCACCATCGATTAGGGAGAATCGACTGACTGAAACGGGCATTGTCAGAAAATAAGACGTCAGAAAAAAAAAAAAAAAAAAAAAAGTGCCGTCCACTACCAAGCACGTTCTGTGGTCAAACAGCTGAAGCAGACGCGGGCGCCCAGGCGTGAACAAGACGGGAGAAAGAGCGGGGGCTTATTAGGGCCAGATCGTGAACAAGACGGGAGAAAGAGCGGGGGCTTATTAGGGCCAGATCGCACTGGCAAAGAAGATTGGAATAAGTGTCTGAATCTGGACGTATTCCACTCAGAGATGCAGAAAAGCAGACCACTCAGAATCTTTTGCACCTCTCCACAAACACGTCCAGATTCAGACACTTTATTCCAATCTTCTTTGCCAGTGGGATCTCGCCCTAAGTCCCAGTGGCGGCGGTTTCCCAACGTGGCCACAGTGCGACCGTGAGATGTACAATCGGATGGCAGGAACTGTATCGGGACTCTAAAGCCTCGTTAGTCTGTATCGGGACGTGTTTCCACAGCATTCCCGATACCAAGTCCTTACTAAAGCCTCGTTAGTCTGTATCGGGACTTCAAAGCCTGGTTAGTCTGTATCGGGACTTCAAAGCCTCGTTAGTCTGTAGCGGGACTTTCGGCATGGATCGGGAGGGGGAAAGGTGGCGAAAGGGGGGGGAGAGTGCGATAGCACTATCGACGAAGCAGCACGCAAACCTTTCTCGGCCTTTTGGCTAAAAATAGATATAAAGTGTATAGGACATGTGTTCTGATCAGTTTAATATCTGATCCGTTCGGGAAAAAAAAGAAAAAAAAAAAAACAGCACGCAAGATGAGAGAGGGAGAGAAGGAAAAGAGGAGACTGGGAGGGAGAGAGGGGGGGAGGAGGAGGAGATGAGAGGGAGGGAGGGAAACAAGGAGAGTGGGGGGAGAGGCAGGGAGACAAGGAGGGGGAGAGAAGGGGAAGAGGGAGAAAAGGGAGAGGGAGAGAGGAAACTAAGAGTCTGACTTGCCTACAGCCTACCGGGTGGCTACCTGTCCTGATGTTCTTAAAAAAAAAAAAAAAAAAAAGTCTGACTTGCCGGTGGAATAGGAAGCGAGCTGATGCTCCCCAGAATGGACAAGGAGCCAGGGTCATAAGGACCTGTTGTTAAAAAAAAAAAAGAAAAAAAAAAAGAAAGTCTGACTATAGTCTGCCATGGATTACGCAAAAAGGCTGATTTTTCTGCCTAACTTTGCCCAAATACTCAGACAAGGACTTTCCTAAATCTGTATCTAGCTGCAATTACGGCCAGACCTGGATGAATCTGACCGCGAGAGCTATAAGAAAGAAAAAAAAAAGTAGTCCTTCGAGTGTGAGTGTGCGCATGCCCTAACTTAGGGTACGCGAGAAGCCTAACAACTGACTCTGTCTGCCTCTCACTCACAGAAGATCTTCCACTCCCTTCCAGGACAGAATGAGAACAACGAAGAATTGGCCATGCAAGGAGATCTACGAAAGAAAGAAAGAGAAATGGGAAAGAAAGAAAGAAAGAGAAGTGGGAAAGAAAGAAAGAAAGAGAAATGGGAAAGAAAGAAAGAAAGAAAGAAAGAGAAATAGGAAGTACGAAAGAAAGAAAGAGAAATGAGAAGTGCCAAAGAAAACAAGAGAAGTGCCAAAGAAAAAAAGAGAAATAGGAAGTACGAAAGAAAGAAAGAGAAATGGGAAAGAAACAAAGAAACAAAAGAAGAGTTTGCCATCAATGCCATGCAAAGAGTTGAAGCAGATCAAGACTGACACAGCAGATTCGACAGATTCGAGGACTGGGACGAAATACAGGTTCAATACATCATAGGGACTCTACCAGAATTTTCCTTGGAGGACTAGGGGCGAAACTGTGGGCACGAATTCAATCGAAGATGACCAAGTACAGCGAGTGCACGAACTCAATCGAAGATGTCCAAGTACACAGCGAGTAATGCCCTGAGAGTAGGAATTTCCAGGGCAGTCTGTGGCTGTACGTTTCGAGCGGGCTCTCGCCAGAGAAGACGCTTCTCGTCGTGTTTCATAATGTCGGCGCCATAGCTCTTGATAAAGACACACAACTGTCAGCTTCCACCGAACACAACGCCCTCTGGTGATGAATGCATACAAGCTCTTTTCCCGGTGTCATACAGTCACGATGAGGGTCCTCCGTTTGGGTCCTCCGTTTGGGTCCCCTCCGTTTTCGGCAGACGACAGTGGCGTGAAAACTGGCGGTGCCCCGAGTTTGGGTCCTCCGTTTGGGTACCCTCCGTTTGGGACCCTCCGTTTGATTCCTCTGTTTGGGTCCTCCATTTGGATCCCCTCCGTTTGGGTCCCCTCCGTTTCGGTCCCCTTCGTTTGGGTCCCCTCCGTTTTCGGCAGACGACAGTGGCGTGAAAACTGGCAGTGCCCCGAGAACGCCCACGGGCGTTGCCAGATTCGTTTTTTTTTTGCTTCTTTCTATGGGCTCTGAGCCAATAAACGAGCACAAGGGATCCTCGACTGACCTGGTGTTAGACTTACCGTCTTCATCTGTGAACCGAACCCCCGGCATTACTACCTGTAGTGGGGGCGACTTTCAATCTACTAGATGCAGCGAATCCAACGATAACGACCGGGCGTTCTATAATTGGTGAAGACTGTAGGACCGGGTAGGTAACGAGCGTGGTGGAATTCCATCACGACAAGGCACGTGGGCAAAAAAAAGAGACGACGATTAGCCAAAAGACGTGAGGAAAAGAACGAGAGGAGAGAGAAGAGAAAAAACAAAACTTTAGGTTCAACTTGGTGATTACAGTATTTCGCATACTGCCGAACTAAAGCAGGCGGCGAACAACAACTTGAAAACTTGACAAGAGGGCTGAGGCGCAAAACAGAGCGGAGAGAGAGAGAGAGGCAGAGAGGTCGGCTCTTTCAATTTGTTTCGTTTTATTTTTGCCCCGAAGGATGAGGCATTGCCTCCACATGCTTATCTCGACAATTTTTAGAATTTCTAATCCCTCACGTCGCTCGCATTGGTAACCAGTCAGTCGCCATGCTTCGCGCTAACAAGGGAGAGAGAGAGAGAGAGAGAGAGAGAGAGAGAGAGAGAGAATCATCATGCTAATGCTTCACGCTAACAAGAGAGAGAGAGAGAGAGAGAGAGAGAGAGAGAGAGAGAGAGAGAGAGAGAGAGAGAGAGAGAGAGAGCATCATCATGCTAATGAGAGTAGATAACCGTCATCGTCATAATTCCCGTCGGTCAAGGGGGTTAAAAACTTCTAAAAGCCGCGTGTGCGGAAATTATAAATAGCCGCCTTCCCCCGAGTTTTTCGTTTTTATCCCTTTTACCGCCCCTAACACGATAATACAAGGGAGAACGTGGATGGGGGGGGGGGCAAGCTACTACGTGGCCACCAAGCAGCAGGTACCACACAAACCGATTATCAACCATACATACTTAATTCCATTGGACACTAATCGAATTTCTGGAGGACATGCTGTTGCATAGTGGAATCTCAAACGCCTAATATCAAATGCAATTACTCAACTTCAGTAGGTGACAACACACACACACACACACACACACCTGTCTCTTATACACATCTAGATGTGTATAAGAGCCAACACACGCACGACGAAACGACGAAACGACCTGTCACATTCATGCCTTCTTTGTAGACAAGCAGAGACACACGCACCCACCCACCCACGCACGCGCGCACACACACGCACGACGAAACGACGAAACGACCTGTCACATTCATGCCTTCTTTGTAGACAAGCAGAGAGAGAAAGGGCTTCCTTCTGTGTAAGGAAGGACCTTTCCCAGTAGCAATGTAGTCCTGTGGTGATATTCTCCATCGTAATTAGCGCAATACACAATCTTTATCTGTTCCTTTCTTTTTTCAGGGTCCTACCCCTCATGGAACCCCAATCCACCACAATCTCACTTTGCCTGATGTGAGGCGAAGCGAGCTACACCCCGTCACAAGACGCATGGACGTTCACTGAAGCAACAGCAGAAAGAACCGAGAAATGAGACAGCAAAAGAAGCACAAGACAATGTTTGACCATGGGAAAGCGAAGTCAAAACGAACCAAGGTGTTACCTTCGAGGCGCAACCCAACAATGAAATCGAGCCAAACACATCAAAATCAAAAATTTATGTTAACTCTCGTATAGTGGCTACGGTCTTTACCGTACGACGGCGTTGGTTATTTCGAAGAAAAGTGGAAAAACCACAAATTCATGTCTGTGGCACCATCGTGAGCTCCTAGCAGTTTACAACAGATAATAAACGTTAGCACAGCAAAAGACGCAGCAACTAACAACGAAATGAAAGGGGTTTAAAACACAATCCGCGTGACCTGTCAGCTATCCCAACACATAGACACCCTTTACTCTCAGCCGTAGTCAACCAATTCGTTGCTCTGCAGAGGCGAACTCTCACGGTTCTCTCTCTCTCTCTCTCTCTCTCTCTCTCTCTCTCTCTCTCTCTCTCTCTCTCTCTCTCTCTCTCTCTCTCTCTCTCTCTCTCTCTGTGACACTCTTACATCATCAAGCAACAGGCTTTCATGCTCCACTCTCTCATGCTCCACTCTCCCAACGACAATGTGTTCCGCTTCTCCTCAGTCGTTAACGCCCGGCGGCGATAGTACCTTTTCTGTTAATCCACTGCAGCAGCTTTTTCATCCAATGATGCTCTTTCCCGTCCATTGCCGCAATTATTCATCAAGCCAGAACTCGCTGTAACGATAAATAATTACGCAAATCTGAGCACTCGTCCACCCACCCTCCCCATTCCCCTCTCAAAACGGCCGTGCAGCAATTGGCCTGTTCAGGAGAAATAGGTATAGGTATTATCCTAATTCTCCGGAATCCTAACAACGAGAACGAAGGCGGGAAAAACAAAAAAAAAAACAAAAAAAAACGACAAGTGATCTTCAAAGTCCTAACATTCACAAGAGAAAAAGAGAAAAAAAAAAAAAAAAAAAAAAGAAGAGGAAAACCCGRYMARAAAAAAAAAAAAAAAAAAAAAAAAAAAAAAAAAAAAAAAAAAAAAAAAAAAAAAAAATTTAAAAATCCTAAAATTCAAAGAAAAAAAAAAAAAAAAAAAAAAAAAAAAAGAAGAAGAGGAAAGCTCGGCTTCGAAATGAATTGGTAATCCAGCGAAAACGACAAAAAAGGGCAATCCTCTCAGCTCGAAACTGGGCCAACGAAGTGTCAGCCAGAAGCAAAACAAATAATTAAATATAAAAAGGCAACTCACCTCATATTCATAAATCAGAACGAAACAGAAAAAACACTTGAGATCACATTTGTCCCGAAAACGCCGATGGAACATCAAGAAAACATTCAAAATCCTCAAGAGGATAAACGTAAACTACCTCAACAAGGCTTTCATAGTCTCTCTCTCTCTCTCTCTCTCTCTCTCTCTCCAAGACGAACCTTTTCAAACCACTTTTTATTTCAGACTTCTGAATCCCGCTCTTCCCTCCCTCCCCCTCTTTCATCTTCGTACCTCCCCTCTCTCTCCCTCCCTCCCCCTTATTTCATCCTCTTATTACCTCCCCCCCTCCCTCCCCCCCCTCCTCCTCCCTCTCTCTCTTCCCTCCACGACCGAGTTTTGAACTAACAAGTCACGTCTCCGGTGCAACAGCTAGACTCGGTCGGGCATAATTTCTCTTCTTGCAGACGAGTAACATTATCTTTCCTTTTCCATCTGCCCCCCCCGTTTCCTCCGTCACTGCCGCCCCTCCCTCAGCCGTTTGGGCCTCTTTCCCTGTCGCCTCTTCTTCCCCATCTTCCGTCTTCGCGAATCGTACCTCCCATTTCATTCCCTCAGCAATTCTGGCGACGCTGCGCAGCAACCAGACTTCGTCTCGGATGATGGCCACTCCTTCGGGCCGAAGGATCCTATCCATTTCTATCAAGACGTCAACAAAATCACATTCCCTAGACGCGTAAGCAGAGAAAACGCCACTGGCATGCAACAGGTCGTAGGTTCGCGGATAGGTTGAGAAGGCCTCGCACCAGTCGTGGTACGTGCCCACGAGACCTCTGTCGAAGATCACGGGCAGCGTGTTCTCCATCATCGTATCATGAGTTTTCTTGTCCGTCATCACGCAGTTCATCACCCAAACCGGGTACTCGAACAGCGCGGCGGCGAAGCCGCCGTACCCGGCGTTCATGTCCATGAAGTTTCTGAATTTGTTCGCAATGAGCGCGGGAACAAGACGGCGGTAATGAGCGACGGCTCGCTGCCAACGGAAGTTGTCCAGGTGGATTGCATCCGCGTTGGCGCTGGGTTGGCGGGAAAAGAGTCGAGGGGATGTGAAGTTGATCCGCTCCGGCCATTTGGGAAGCTTACCTACAGCGATCGAGGGGGGAGAGGAAGACGGGCCCCCCTCCCCCTCGCCCTCCTGGCGGGATTCCTCCGTTAAGGGTAACGGCGGCAAACAGTCAGTTAACGTAACGTACCAGGCTTGATCGACGTCGTTAGTCTTCTCACACACAGGGGGTTGCGTACCTTCCGTACGCTCCGCGTAACACTTTCCTGTTCGAGGCTTTCTCCAAATGGCATAGAGGTCAGCTTCCGCGGCCTTGGCCACGACTTCCCAGCACATGCGCGCCGCCAGATCCTCGATTGCGACCATGGACTTATTGAATTCCACGTTGTCGCCGCGCCACGCTTCCAATCCGTACTTCTGCCAATTCACCGGCGGTCCCGACAGCACCCAATACCCTCCCGGCCTCAGGAGGCGGTTGACTTCGATGAGGCTGTATCCGCCCTCCGATGTCCAGTCAATCAAGCATCTGCTGCAGTGGATCAGGTCGAAGGAGCTCGACGGATATGGCTGCCGCTTCGTTGCCAGAGTCCCCAGCAGGGCGGGTACTCCGCGCTCCAGAGCGAATTGCACTTGCGCTTCGTGGTTGTCCCTCGGAGCGACCGACATCGTTAACACCCCTTTATCGAAGAGATAAGCACCCCAACTAGCGACGCCGCAACCGACATCGAGGGCGAGTCGAATGTCGGACCCCTCGCCGAGGGGTACGTAGTGCGAAATGCCCTCGATATACCCGGTCACCCCCTCGTGGAACATAGTCCCCCCCCCCGGGAATATCATCTTTTCCCCCTCGCGCCGTACCCAATTCTGATCGGCTTTTGCCACTGTCAAGTAGCGCGACGGCACGTTGTCGAACCATGTTTCCGTCCTGCTCGTCGGCCAGAGCGCGTGGAACTTGTACCCCGGCGGAGGGCGGATCAGACAGCGGAGGGGGTCCCCCAGGCAATGGCGCTCGCGGTACTCGTGGCGGCGCCGGGGCAACTTCTTCGAGCGCTTGTTGTCTTCACAAGGCGTGTAATCGACAAGCTTCGCGGGGCAAAAGTCGAAGTCGTAAACGCCGCTGTACTTCGCGGCGAGCGCTGCAGCGTTACTACTACTAGAAGAAGAAGAAGAAGAAGTAACGGGCTGCAGGCCCAGGGAGCGCCAAGTGTAGTGCACATAAAAGAATAATAACAACAACAAAAAGGAAATGAAGACGTACGACCTCACATTGCCCTTTGCCCGCAAGTTCTGCATCGCGACAGCAACTACTCTTACAGAAGCCTTCACATTCACTGCCCTACCGCGCGCCGGGAAGGCTCATGGGGCGTGCGCAGGCGCACACGTACACACGCACGCACGCACGCAAGGCCGGCGGCGGTCAGAGAGAGAGAGGAGTTTCAGAGAGAGACAGAGAGAGAGAGAGAGAGAGAGAGAGAGAGAGAGAGAGAGAGAGAGAGAGAGAGACGGCGGAAATCTGCAGGCAGACTGCGAAAGACAAAGCGAACGCAGAAGCTGGCAGAATAACAAGGACAACTTGTCGCCTGCACACTGTCCACAGAGGTCACCAATCCCAAACCGCAAACACGAAGCAGGTCAGACGTGCGTGCATCAACTCGAAGCAAATTCAGAAAGCGGGAGAAAGAAACACAAACATGTAGACACCGAGAGAGAGAGAGAGAGAGAGAGAGAGAGAGAGAGAAAGAGGGGTGCGGAACCTGTCACCTCTCTGCGTTAGTAGCACACGTGATTCTCCTCCGTTTGCTCTCTCTCTCTCTCTCTCTCTCTCTCTCTCTCTCTCTCTCTCTCTNTCTCTCTCTCTCTCTCTCTCTCTCTCTCTCTCTCTCTCTCTCTCTCTCTCTCTCTCTCTCTCTCTGTGTGTGTGTGTGTGTGTGTGTGTGTTTTCGTGGAGTGCGATTGGGCGAGGCCGAGATTACGGATTCATCTTCCCTTTCTCCCGCTCTGCAGTAAGATGTCTCCGATTGGAACGAGAGGACGATATCCCGACGAGCGCGAATCGAGAAAGCGAAGACTGCGACCGGCTTCTCTCTTCTGGTTAGTTGTCCGCCGCTATGACACATGAACAATCAATGGAGACGAAGACGTCAGAAGTAGGGAAAAGCTCACAGGGCGTTAGGGCGCAAACACAGAGGCGAAGTTGAAGCCAATGCAACCGATTCCGATCAGATCACGGAAAAAAAAAAAAAAAAAAAAAAAAAAAATCCCAATGCAGACGAAGTCGCACCACTGTACCATCAACGATTATCTTCTTCCACAGCCACGCGACATCGCCAGCTTCCCCAACCCTACACCGCGATCGTGCTTCTCTCTCTCTCTCTCTCTCTCTCTCTCACACACACACACACACACACACACACACAAACATGGGATTCACCTTTTCACATTTGACTCCAGCATGGACGTTCGGGCAGCGTTTCTCGATCGCTAATCGCGCACAGCTCACTGCATCTACCTGTCTCGTCTCGAGGTCTCTGCGAGGTTCGGATTCTGGGCCTCGCCGCACCACTCACCAAATGCACAAAAGACAAAATATTATAGACACGTATCTTTTAATGTTGTTTGTTGTATACCACCAGCCCCTATTGTTCATTACTAACCGTTGATCTTCGTAATCGAGGGTGAAAAATGAATAATCCAGGGTGGTGGGATCTGACCCTCATTCTCATTTTGGTGGAGCGGTGAGGCGAGGCCCCTTTCCCGGGGCTGGTAGGCCCCACTTGCACTAATTAAGAGATAATGACCGTAGATAGCAAAGATCAACGGCCCAAATCTCATAATTTGCGCAAGTGGGACCTTGCCCCCGCTCCATACGGCCGCGCTCCACTGCTCACCGCATGCACAAAAGACAAACATCATGTCATGGCGGTGTATCTTCCCATGTTCTAGCGGTACATTCATTCTTTTTTTTTTTCTTTTTTTTTTTTTTGGTGAGTGGTGAAGCGAGGCCCATTGACTTGAGTAATTGAATTTTGATTTAAACAAAAAAAGAAAAAAACAGGGATAATTTGTGAAATACCCCTATAAGTTGAGCTAATGCCAAAATGCCCCTAAAAGATGTGGGTAGAGCGGAATACCCCTCTGACAAAAAGAATGTTTTGTGAAACGCCCCTGGCGTCAGTTGGACCCGCCATCTTTGCAAAATGCCCCTACCGGGTACTGTCCATCTTTGCAAGATGTCCCGGTACCTGCCAACTTTTCCCAGGCCCTGATTATTTTGATTTACCCATACCGGCCCAGCTCATCTTTGCGTTTTGCCCCCTGGCCGTTGGAGGCCTACAGCGGCCCTTTCCAGGCCCCAGGAAGCCACTACTGGGCCCAGGTCATCTTTGTGTTTTGTCCCCTGGGTGTTGGAGGCCAAAAACGGCCCTTTCCAGGCCCTGGGAAGCCAATACCGGGCCAAAATGGGAATTGTGGAGACAATCCGTTGCTTTCTTGACGTCTCTGCTGTCGTTGGCAGTCAGTTTCTTCTTCTCCCGCCCAATTCATCCCCCATTCATGGCAGGGTGCAGAAACAAGTCTGCAGTTAAGGGATTCTTGAACTTTTATGATGAGTTCTACGTGCATGAAACAGCAGCGGCCAGTGCTATGATGAAAAGGACGTCCATGACACACACAGCCAGGGCAGGCTGTTGCAGACCAGATTTTGCAACAGCTGAGCACCGTTTGGATCAGACCCCGTCATTGCCTGCCCATAGAAAGGGAACATTCCATGCACGAACCCAAGAAAACTGTTCAATGCACTGTTACAATGTTGGTTTTCGGGCCTGTGCTTCATTGTCCTGTTTTTTATCCATTTTAAAGCATTTGGATGATTTGGTACTGCTAGTGGTGGTGATACGAGCACCCCGTAGAGGTAAATTATTTCAGTTTGGGATACCGATGTGGGTGAAGGGGCTGTTGTGGTGACATTCTCTCTCTCTCTCTCTCTCTCTCTCTCTCTCTCTCTCTCTCTCTCTCTCTCTCTCTCTCTCTAGCTTGAGCTACCCTCATGGATTTACACAACAGGAAGGGCGTACTGTTACAATGTCTGCATGTGAGCGTCCCACTCATTCCCCTATTTGTATTTTTTTTTTCATCTATCGCATACATCTCAGAGTACCTGTCAGATGGAGGAGGCAAGCAAATAAGCAACTGATGACATCTAACAATGGAATGAATTACAAGTCTTTATGACACATGAGCTATTTGCGAGAAAGGATAGCAAGAGAACCTGCAGAAACCACGATTCAATTTCCCCCCCTGATGAGGAGTGCTGACTGATTACCTGGTCTCAGAAAAGTCGAAATACTTGCTAGCATGCCCGAATCTTAACTATGCCCCTGCATACAACATCGAGCCTAAAAGAATGTGCGAGGCTGTGAGCATGCTACACATGCAGAGAAGGCAAGGAAAGCAAATCTAACTGAGGTAGCAAATAGATGGTCAGAACTTCTCAGAAGTTCAGCAGTACAGAAAACCTAAGTTCCTAATACATAAATATATGAGGTGAAATTACCTGCAGTTCAGAAAATGCAAGTTCAACAAAGAACTTGCAACAACAAGTTACTGTATCACTACGAATGGACAGACGCAGTCCGCAACGTATGATGTGTGGACAACCAGCAACCTCCCTAACTTCTTTGACCTGCTAACAACTGCCGTACAATAAACAAAACTTGACAGGGTCCATTCTTTTCAAAAATGTTCACAAAATACTTGATGCTGTGAAAGCATGTGCAAGGCAGTCTATGAAAGACTTGGATGATGTGTATCGTCCTTCGCCATTTGCAAGGCAGTCCTGTAAACTGACACAATAGTCGGTGCTGGACAATCCTATTCGTTCACTGTATCGCAGGTCCGTCGTGAGTGGCCTGACCTGCCACACAAACTACATTTGAAATCCCTTTTGGGCTGCTCATCAGCTTTCATTCTCTTCCGTCTCTGACGAGGACGCCCACGAGATTTGCGCGGAATTGGCGGAAGAATAGTGTTGTCGTCCTCCATGTCATGAACATTTGCTGGTTCTGCTGCTGTTTCCATGCCCAGCGTCTCAGGCGATAGTTGCGATGCTGAAGTCACACATGTGTCAGTTGCTGGCATGTCTGGTGCCCATGTGTCCTTCGGTGCGAGTGGGTGAATGAGGCCGGCGTAAGTTGCCCTGTAATTTTGGGTCGTGAAGAAAGCCTCACAAAACCGTCTGGGACACTCATGCTTCATCAGAATCACAATCGTGGCATGGGAGCAGGGGATACCTTCTGCGGTCCATCGTCTGCATGTGCATGACCGGCTATTCACAGTCACGGTGTTTGAGTCATTCCCGCTAAGGACTTCAAAAACATTGTCATCTGTTGGAATAACTTGAAATTGACGACCCTCATCTCAGCTCGCAGACAACCTTGCTTCTGCACCCGGAACGAGTGCAGTCGTGATCCCTGTCGCAAACCTTCGACGTTGGAGGTACCACACATAGAGTTGCCGCCGCATGTGCTCAAACATGTGCATGGCTGGTTTCTGGCACGCTGCAAAAATCCAACCGTTCAACGACTCTGCAATGTTTGATGTGTAGTGTCCGTAACGGTGACCCACAAAGAAAGCGTCGCTCCAAAGTGCGGGATCGCATGTTTTCAATAACCATGTTGTCGTTTGCTTGTCCATGACATGCATGCGGGAAATAATTCTACTGAATTCGGCAAAAGTTGGTGCTTTTGCAGCGGACCACAACAATTGCAAGTAAAGTGGTCCACTATTCCTTTTCGCCACATTGTCTGCAATGTGCTTCATGCAAAACCCGTGCGGGCTGTCATAAAACACATTCTGCACAGCTTGAATAAGTCCTTTCTCTCTATCGGATAGAAATGTGAGGACAAATGTGTCAATCCCCCGCGATTCGAATGTCCCTTTCAGATGGTTGAGGAACCAGGACCAGTTGTCTGCATCCTCGCCAGCAACGAGTGCGAAAGCAACAGGGAAAAGTTGACCTTGCGCATCAATTGCTGTTGCCCCCATGAGACAACCTCTGTACCTGGTCTTGATGAATGTCCCGTCAAGACCTATGAGGGGCCTGCAATGTTGGAAACCTCTTATGCAGGCGTCTAACGCAAGGAACATGCGTTGGAAACGTGAGTTTGCCGCCTCAGTTTGCATGAACGCGCGACTCCCTAGATTTGACCGCTGCACCTCCTCGCAATACTGCCGCAAGTATCGGTAACCGTCGTCATCACTTCCGAGAATGCTTGCCTTTGCGATCTCCTTCCCTTTCCATGCACAACGGTACTTAACATTCACTCTGTGATCGCGGAACAAGTCATTCATGATCTCCACTGGCTTGTAATCCGGCGTGTCTCGTAATTTCGGTTCTATCATCCGCGCAACCCATGTACTGGTGGCTTGCCGGTTTGACAGCTTCGCGAGGCCTCCACACGTGTGCTCACCAATGTCCTTCACAACAACAATCGGGCCACCGCTTACATGGGACCCATGCAGACGCCACATACACTTGTCATCCTTGCCTTTAATCGTGTACCGCTTGATGTCAGATTTCACAACAGCGAACTCGTAGCAATTTTGAACTGCATGGTGGGCCACTGCATTGCGCAAATCTTTCACGGTCGGGAACTCCTTCCCCTTGTACAGACTTGTTTTCATATCTTTGGTTGAACCACCATCTTCTGCACTCGGCAAATCAAATTGAATGCCCACCCCGTCGTGCTTATCTCCCGATGACTCTTCTTTTGAATCTTCTGCTGAAGACCTCTCAGATATGTCTCTTGAACAACCGGTTGCGAACTCCATCCGTGTTCGTTTCGCAGTGGGCATACGACGGTGCAACACATTCCTGCTATCGAGTTGCTGTTCATCCTCCAATATAGTGCAAGGTTGACGTGACGAACCACCAACACAAACCTGGTGAGACATTCCAGCTGGTCCATTCGCTTGCTGCAATTGGCCCAACAATGCGTTGATCGCCACTTCTTGCTGCGACACTTTATCGAGCAGCGTTTGCGCCAAGCCTTTAGACATAGCACATGTCATGATGTTGTCTTCCCCGATCATTTCCTCCGAGGGCGTGTCCCTCGACGGTATCCCAAACTCAAACATTTCTTGCTGCCTCGACCAATGACGAGGTGGAATGTCGTGGTTGATCTGCTTTGGGTACAGACCACCATGGACATTACTTGTCGGAAAAGTGACAAACCTAGCTGGGGGGTTGACAGGGCTGCGCATCACACGATGCATACCACGGTGCATTGCCCCATTTGGCAATGCACTCGAGGATGGAATCTGTGAATCCATCTGTTATGCTCGCTTCTGATGTGATGTTGCTGCTCAATTGCCGCAACAGAACCGACACACCACTATGAACTATGAACCTGCATCGCATGCATGCAGGAAAGAATGTCAATGGATACGTCCTCAAAGTGATCCACCGGATACTAGACACTAGACGCTAGACAGATGCAGTGCCTAAATGAAGTT